ATCCACATGCCACACATGCAAGAAATTGTTTAGCTCCTGGAAACGTTTTTTGGTGTGCTCTATGACATACAGTAAAATACAAGGATTCATAAGATAGCAGCCATGAATATGAGCGGAGCACAGTCTAATGATATTATAGTGAAACGTTTGCGTATTACGATTACGGTGCTTAATAGATCAGTGGGGCAGCAGTGCTGATGAAAAGGATGCTACCAGGAGCCATTAAATAGGATTTTCATTCAGATTGTCACAACGACAGGATTGCCTGTTAGTTACTCGTACTTCTGCATCATTCGAATAAGATACAAATGGGATTTAACAGCTTTGACGTCGGATTTCGATTTAGGTTACGAATCAAGTTACAGTGATGGTGTACTAAAACTTTATGTATCAGTCAGCTAACTATATAAATCGATAGTGAAATATATGCAACTATTTACCACTTCATGCCAGAAAGTCGAGAAAGCCTTGAAAATCGGCTTTCAAAAGCTTAATTGTTATTTTTCAAAACCAGTTATTGTCTTACACAACACGTATAAAGTGTCAACCTCTAAGAACGGACTGTGGCGTAGTATCGGATTTCCAGTGTGCCATATTATAGTTATGTATAGGTCTCAGCTACTCACGTATAAGGCATGCAACTTAATTTCCTGCATTTGCAAACAAGTTTAACCCACTGATGTTATTTTTACAGAAGGGTAACTGTTACTAACACAGCCAAGATTAATGTTAATAATTTTAGTCAGCATTTACGCGATGCCTTTTCAAAAACATTAACAATATTCTGGTATTAATGTCTACATTACGATAAGATAATTGATTCTGCATTCCAGGTGAAGGAAATGGTGTGCGGTGTAGTAGGTGTTTATTTAATAATTTTGCATTTCACTATTTTATATTATAGATGATGTTAGATAAGTTATCAAGCAAGAGTTTCAGTTTAGTTATGGTAAGAGATGCCAGCAGCGAGTGCTAGATAAGATGGTCTACTTGTTTTGTCCTGTGGTAAATGGGATAAACTATACAGCGAGTATACATAGTAGGCCTAAACCCAAATTCTAAGCTAACATTTTAGGACATCTTGTACACATGGTTGACTTATAAAGTGACAGTATATATATGGTAATCTGTTTATACACCAACGTTTTACCATCATATATGCATAAAGTACACCTGAGCATACATTTCGTGTATTTCTTTGGGCTTAGGATATTAGGCCAGTAAGCAGCATAAGAATGATATACACACCCCCACACAAGCACACACATACATATGCACGTAAGGATGCTAGCAGGGGGCTCAGCTAACCCTTATTACTGACATTCCTAAGCTTCTGTGTGGATTTCTGATATATCATTAAGATTTTTATGTTTGCTCAATCATGGTAAAGTTTCCTCCCATTATAGGGCCCAGTGGGTTACACTGTAAAAAATACATACAAACTGAGAACCTACAACAGTTGACGCAGGTATTATAAGGTTTTATGATAGAAACACTATTTCTAAATATATTTAACAGTTCGATAAAGATTTCTGTGGTTGTTGCGGGCCTCACCAATCCACTCCACTCTAAATTGCACCTGTTCTAATTTCAAGTTCAAGTTCAAGACGTTTCCTTAGAGTTTTAAGTCCAAAATAGTATTGTAGGTACACCATACAAAAAATTGCAAAAGGAGGGTCTACATCATGATCCATCTACCATGTACTATATTACAATGATGTACATAGTAATGTCCCAGCAATGCATCAATAAGAGTAAAGTCAGTGTCCGTGCAAGTGGGCAGTTTGTCTCCCTTTTTTTCATACACCTAATTATATAAGCAAGGGATTGTTTTCTGTTTTTTTCTAGCTCAATGTTTTTAATGACATGCATTTGAAAGCAGTGACCTAGGCACCAGGCACTTGGGACAGAGTCCAGTAAAAACTGAAAATAATATGAACGCACATCAGCAAATAGGCCCTACTACCGTACTCTCCATTCAACAGTTCCACTGTTGTGTCACTGTACATCAACTTTCCTTCATAAAAACTAACCGCCGAACGCTCC